TTCATATATAGAAAATTTGGTTTTAAAATCTAAACCGAAAAAGAAAATGTTTGCACACAGCAAAATGTGGAGTTGATTCAAACTCAACATATGAAGGCACATGGGCGTAGCCAGGTTGGGGCAGGGGGGGTGCTCGAATGTTTGCGTTTAAAATTTCAAAAAAAATTGTTCAAATTCTAAACCCAACATATGGGCTCTCTTTTCTTTAAACTTGGAAGGTTTGTATTTGAGACTGAGTTTAGTTTGGTCAAATATGTAGTCCAAAAAGTTTCAATTTAAAACCGAAATTTTTAACCGTGTGTGGAAACTATTAACAAGACCAATAATCTGCTCAGTGCTTATGGTAAGCCATTTAAATGCTAGTAATTTAGTTCCTAGAATATACATTATATACATATATAACATAAAATCTCTATTATTTATAAAAACTTTGCTACTTAGTACTCTCCACAATAGTAAAACAATTAAATTAACCGATGAATACTTAGCCCGGCTTACCCAAGAATTAGCTGAGCAACGTACATATACGTATCTACCTACAGAAATGCTTATACATATGCATATGTATTTATGTAGATTTGAGAATTTTACATTTAATTTTTCTATTCAATTGCTTTAACAAACAATTATTCGTAGCTAATTTTATTACCAAAGCGCATGATGCCCTCAGAATAGGATTAGCCTAAATTATATGTACGTATACGAGAACATATTTACTATACTACATATTTATATATATATATGTATGTACATTAGGGTGGTTGGAAAACAGTAAAGTCGGAATTGAAATGTTCTATATTGAAATCAAAATATATTTAGAGGTCGCTCAAAGCGCTCAAAGTTTTCCATGTATTTTTATATCGGAAAAATAAAATTTTTCGTACAAATGGTATAGATACTTGAAAATCAATATTTTTCGATCGGAAAACTCTGGTTCTCTTTAGGAGACTTGCAATAATAATACCCAATTGTTTATTTAACAATTTTTTAGTACTAACGATTTTTTATTTGTCGCCCCATTGCATATTTCGGGGTTTTTATGGGTTTTTGGCGGCCCTATAAATTATGGTTGCGATGAAAAAATGGTTAAATAAACAAATGGATATTATTACTGGGAATCTTTTGGAGAGAAACAGAGTTTTCCGATAGAAAAATATTGATTTTTAGGAATTCTATACCATTTCTACGAAAAGCTGTTTTTTCCCCATACAAAATACATGGGAAACTTTGAGCGCTTTGAGCGACCTCTAAATATTTTTTGATTTCAAAATAAAAAATAGGGGTCTATTTTTTTCGATACTGAACAATCGTAGGTGGCGAGAGCATAAAAATTCCGACTTTACTTTTTCACATGCATGTTTGGACCACCCTAATGTACATATGTAGGTATAATACATACTAGAAAATGTAGGCGTCAGCAAGCGACTGATATAAATTGATCGTTAGAGGCTTGAATATACCATGTAATCTTATTTATTTTCATCTAATAACATATATGTATGTATGTACAAATGTACCCTACCAGAACAATTTACCCGATAATTCCATATAATTATTATTTTTTTTTCAAATCTCATACACAATCCCATATTTACAAGAGGGTATTTACCCAGTCTGTAGGGTAGAAACGTGATATGTTTGTATGTACATATATGTATACACTCTTAATTTCATTTGCTCAAAATCGTATTTAATGAGTTACTCTGAATCCCAACGTAAATTTGTCTAACAAAGTAACCTGAATCTAGCTGGTTTCATTCTTTCCCTTCGTTCAAGTTCAGATCTAATTGAAGAAATGGTTTATGGAAGCCAGTCACTGACTTTGGCTTAATTTTATTTTACTAGTTGTGATGCTTGCACAGAGACCAAATTACTGACAGAAACTCACAAACACACTCAATTTTAATTTTGGTTTGTTTCTTATGATTAATTTTTTTTTTTTCAAGCATGTATAGAGTTGCGTATTCACTACAATAAGCCAGCGGATAAGATGTTGAACTTTGTCTGACCCTTGTTCAGTTAAAAGCTAATTGTAATGAATTCCCACCCACTTGGCAATTAAACCCATATGTCGTATATACACTCTAAAAAGTGCATGTAAAAATACTACTGAAAAGTGTTTATTTTTCAACCAGAATCTGTTCAAGTATACGCACAAGATGTTCAAGAATCGATTTTGAACATGAGTTGTTTAAAATATACACATAAATATACACATTAAATGTTTAAAATTACAAACATTTTGAAGGTAAAAATATATTTTTTACAAATAATAAATACTAAGTGCCACGGGCGTACGCAGAAATATATTTTTGGGGGGAAAGAGTTTATACTTCTAAATATATATCATCAGAAAATACTGAAAATTCGCTGTTTAAAATACATTTATGCAAGTTTTATGTACAGAATGAACTAAAAAAATAAACTTTTTAAAGTTTCATAAATTGCATTTTATTTACATAAAATGTACAAAGAACTCAAACATTTTCAACCGGCTTCAAAAAAGGGGAGGTTGTCAGTTCTTCGGAGTATTTTTACTTCTTTTATTTATTTCACCGCATAACTTTGCACTGCGTGAACCGATTTTTTTACCAGAAAGATAGTACCGTCGTCCCGTAATTTGGTTTAGATCCGATCAGTAAATCATGAAAAAATTAACGGTTAAAGATGCACTCAACTTTCAAAAGTAATACAACATTTTACAAAAGAATTTTAATATAAATAAATTAAATAATTTCACGAAAGTTTTACACTTTTTTATTCATTTTCGTCGATTTCTTGTTTCTCATTTTTTAATACTTCGAATAACGAAAATTTTGCTGAACTTGTATTTTTAACATGTAGCTCATTTTGGTGGAACGAATTCCAAGTTGGCAAATTAAATCCTCGAATGCTTCTTAAGTACATATCAGTGGTAAACTTTTTTAGGCTGTAAAGTTTAAAAAGCAACAGTAAGTGAGCATGCATTGCATATTTTTAGGACAATGTTTTCATTCGCAATTAAACTTTAAAGAGCTCTCAAGAAAAAAGAAAAATTCTTACAAAATGACGCACAAGAAATGGAAAAGAAATTTTTTTCTATCAAAATTTCTTAAATCATAATAAATTTAACCCCAAAACCCACCCCTTGTGTGCGCTACGTGATAAATTTGATATGTAAAAGTAAACAGACAATGTTTAATTTAGCACACACTAGGAGAGGAAACTGGTTACCTCTCTTTATATGCGTAAATTTAAACGAAGTTTTTTTAGAGGAAATTTTAAACATTTTATGTGTAAACTATGAAAATGTGAACAATAAATATTTAAAACTCAAAAAACAAATTTGAAATTTGTTCTACGCCACACATATGATATGTAAAAGTAAGCAAGCAGTGTTTAAATTTGCATTCATTAAGAGAGGAAACTGGTTACCTATCTTAATATGCGCAAATTTAAACAAAAATTTTTTAGAGTGTACATATGTACTTACATAAATACACACATAAAAGTATGTGCATCTTTAATACGGATGTGTGCATATATATTTGTATGTTTTATGTTCTACATATCTTATGCGTACATAAATAAGTTCTAAAAAATACATATTTACATAAGTCCAAATGTCCATGTCAAAGTGGTTATGCTTTTATGCCCCATAACGGTACATAAATATGAATGTATGTACTATAAATACATTAACGATTGCATTCGCTTCCCTCTGTTTTAGTACAAATGCTTATTAATTTCAACAATTTTATTGAGCTTGAAGCAGTTTTAATGAAAATTTTTGTGGAAAAAACAACAATTTACATTTTGGTAGAAGTTACAGCTGCTACATATTTCGGAGATAACCTCATCTCCTCATCAGACTTCGTTCACTGGGCTTCGATCCATCGTCCCTGGCGGCCAAAGCCAGTTGCCTACGCACTGTGCTAAGTTCGCCACGTAAACTGTTGTTGCTCTTTCCACTTTTTTCTTGTGTTAATCCAACTACAATCAAGCGCAGCTATTCCGCTGCTATTTACCCTTGATATTGTGGTTGTTGTTTTTGTTAACAATTCTATTTTTAGAATTTTTAATTTTCAGGTCCTTAAGTTATTTGTTTTTGTAATTTATGACTCAATAAAATTAATATAACTTTTTTGATATAATTGCATTCAGTTATAATGCAACCCTGCGCAAGTTTTGGGAGAGTACCGTTCAATACTTAAAATATAAAAACTAGAAAACGGAAAATATTTTTTCATACAAAATTTTACAGTTTACAAAAAGCTTTCAGAGCCGCGAGCTTTCCGGGGCGTTTCCAGTTTATAAAATTGATGTTAGAATTAATCTGGGACTTACCTGTCATCACTGATGTTAATTCTGACTAGGCAATTTAACAGTAATTTCTTCTGTCAAGCGTTTTACCAGGCATTAATATCACCGATGACAGTTAAGTCTTAAGTGGATTTTTATATCAGAATCTCATTTTTTATGAAAAGTACAGATAGAGGGTATTGAATATACGCGATATCGATACAGTTAGAAATTAGTAACGGCCATTCGTGGCTGTTTTCACTAAGAGGAGAAATTCTAGAATAGCTCCAGTAAGATTGCAGCGCTAGTATGCCCTACTAACTAATATTGTAATAAAATGGATGCGCCATTTACATTTTCCAACAACAGAACTCAGTTATCTAAGCTATTCCCGAGTCGGTATACTCTTTAAGAAGTGATTATAAGAAAACATAACGTGGGGTGACAGGTAAAACTCATTAAGTACACTAACAAAGAATTTGAGATATTAAGGTTTTAAACACTTTTTAACGTCAAAATTCAACCAGACGCTCTAATATCTTCAAATTTTCATGGCGTTAAATCTAGAGAGGTGACAATACGGCTGCAAGCTTATTTTTTTAAGAACTCAGCCATAATCTTCGTTATTAACAAAACTGTATTTAGTGACTTTTTCCTGTCCAAAAACTTGTTATAGCTTTGTAATAAATTAAAAAATAAACAACTTTAGCATTCAGAATTCCCTTTATTAATGTAAATACATGTGCACAATTTAAATTTTCATCTGATTCGTTATCGCTTCTTTCGAATAAAGGCAAAGATTCCCTTCCGGTAAATGTTGTTGATGGCAAGTTCTTATACCATGGCACCATTTCCTCTGGTATTTGTCCGGCATTGCAAAGTTTTATAAGATCTGCTTTTTTGCTGCAGATATCGGAAGCATCGCTTCATACGCAGGGCTCAGATTAGCAGAACGCGTTCGAGGTCGACCTCTCCCTGCACTGATATTTATTTCTTTGTAGTCACTAGTGTGATCATATCTGTAATATATGGTGTCAGGTTTGGACTTTTCCACTTTTATGCATTTAATTTTCAGCCAAGAAACTTTTACGCCCTCTTTATCCTTGTTACGGTTTTTTATTGTTGCTAATGCCAATTCGTGTAAATTGTAAAAATCGTTATACGTAAGCATATGTACTTGATACTTATTTGTTCGCTTTCTTCTAGCAGATTTGAAAATTTCAGCCCAATCATTCATGCAAAATGCAGTTTTATGCCGTTTAGCGACCTCTATTGCTGAATGCATAGAGTCACACTCCATATATGTATGTCCTGATTCTAGAAACTTAAGTTCAATTTTTACTAAATTACTGGCAACATGTAAGACGTGTAGTAATACTGCAGCTACTTGCTGATTTCGATTTTGGCCGCCACAAGTATCGCAAAATAAAGATATTTCCTTTACCGTGGCAGGCAGACTTAGAAGAAACTTATACAAGATTGAGCCTATTTCGTTGCTTCCACGTTTGCCATGGAGTTCGTTCCACGTGAAGCAATGCGCTTCTTCCCCATCTCCAACATAAATAGTTAAATTATACACGCATATTTTTCGCGAGTAATAAAATAATGAAACATCTGAGCTGGGAATATGGAGAACACTTTGCAAATCAAAGGTGCAAGTAAGAAATGAAGGATCCTCCTTACATCTTTGTTTATCAAAGCGTTTTGCTTCATTGCATTCGCCTTTTCTAATTAAATGCAAGCAATATTCGGTTTCAAGTTCCTTTTTTGTTTCAATAGTAGTCGCCTTCTCATACTTATAGCACAAAGCACAAAGATCCTTTTTGGGTTTAAAAAATGAGTAATTATAATTGTCGCAAAATATCCGTCTATATGTTTTTTCGTTAACTGGAGAGCAAATCATATTTTCTGTGCAAAAATCGTTTTTATATAAGTCATGCATTTTTGAAATAGTTAAATTTGAATCTAGATATAATTTTTTGGTAGACTGTCTTGAATAATGGGATTCCATTACAGGAAAACTCTCAATATGTTTTTTTACAAGGGCAATATCGTTTTCGCTGGTTTTATTACCAGGAGCTTTGTGACCTCTTCTATCGCCGTTATCATAACACCCACTTCTATTACGGCCTCTGAAGGCTGTGTTTATTGGTCCGTTGGAAATACACAATGTCTTCTCGAAAAATTTTGCACATACACGTCTTCTGCCCTTATCGGTTTCTAAATAATATGACTTAGATACGGAACGGGCTCGCTTACTATCAATAGATACTTTTCGCCGTTTCGGCTCTTTCATAGTAACATATTTGAGAATAAAGTCCTTTTGTCGATTATAATTAGCAAGCCCCCAGTACGATTTACAAATATCTAATCTGTCTTTATCTGAGAAGTTGCTATTGCATTTAAAGGCGCAATTCGAGCAATTAACTTCCCTTGGTACTTTAGCGAGACATTGTTTGTATTTATTTTTATAGGGTAGACATTTGGACCGTCGTGACTTAACAATATTTACCTTCCAGGCGCGTTTGTTGCTTTTTTTCGCCTAGTTAAGTTATGGGCACTACTAACCTCATAATCCGAAAATTCAGATCCGCTACTTGATGGTGAATAGCTCGTGTCAGAGTATAGACTGAAGGTTTCATCACTTTCGCATTCATATGGCACAAGCTGAACAGTCTTATCCATTTTCTGTTGAAATTTGTATGCATTCAATATTATCTTTTTAATTACACAGCACCACAAAAAAAAAGTGTCGGGGTGGGGGATCAGACCACCCTTTCCCTATGTACTTTGATGCGCTGACCACGCATCTGGTGTCCGTTTTGATCCAGCACGTCTGGATTTTTTTCTAACCTCAAAAACCATGTCAAATATTTAGGGGTATAGGAATATTTGACATGTTTTTGTAGGTTAGAAAGAAATCCAGACGTGCTAGACCAAAACGGACACTGGATTCGTGTTCAGCGCGTCAAAATACATAGGGTAGGGGTGGTCTGATCCCCCACCCCCGACACTTTTTTTTTGTTTGTGGGGCTGTGTTATTAAACCAAGTTCTATTTTGTGAGCAGTTACTTACCTATTAATTGCTCTTTCCGATTTTTACTTAATTAGGGATGAACCTTGTCAATGTTTAATTTTGCAAATATTTCCTTTATAGCTTATTCCGGAAGTATAAGAATATTGCGGTCACCAATTATTCCATTGAAGGTTGAAATTGCTTTCATTGATTTAGCTTTTAAATTTTTTAGCAAGAAAAAATTGTCTGTCAAATGTCACCAACTACAATGAAAAGCCAATATCGATGGCAAGAAAAATTCATTAAATACGGTAATGAGTTTTACCTGGCCAAGTTTTATACAAATTTTTAGATAATGATATTTTAATTTTTGCAAAGGCCGCCTGCTCTAAGTTGGGCAAATATTAAATCATTTTTCAAAAAGGGCAGTGAAAAATAATGTGATTTATGCGAAAAACGGGGTTTTTCCAAAAACTGTACTTAATGAGTTTTACCTGTCACCCCACGATAAGTAAATTCTTTTCACAACTTATTTTAGTTTCACATATCGTGCATGCACACATTTACATATTTGCTTTTGTAAGCCAATGATTCATAAATACCTACATACGTTTTACACTTAGCAGTTAAATTAACAGGTTAATTAGCGTTGCGAATACAAAAAACACTTGTGTAAATCGAACACCTCAGATGTGCGTATGTATCGGTGTTCCATATATATATATGTACATTATTTATGTACATTCACTCACTTGCATGCGAACGTATATAGAGCGATTGCCTTTTGAATGTAAATAAATACCCGCATTCAACTTGACAGGTGTATGTGAAAAGGGCAAAACGAACGAAAAATAAATAAAATTTGTGAAAACAGTGACATTTAGTCACCGCCCGTGAATATTTACAGTACTATGAACTTGTGAGGAAATAAAATAATTACCTTAAAATTGCCTTTGAGGTTTTTTACCTTCGATTATATGTGCTGAGAATTCACAAATTGACGCTTACAATTAAAGTATGCATGTATGTACATATATACAGATATGTATATACGCTTGTGCAACAATGTATACACATACATATATGTATTTAAATATCCACCCTGCAAGAAAGATACTGGTCAAATGATTAGTAAAATGACCTGGAGCCATGACTGAAACTTTCCGTATTTTTCCCATCACATTCTTAAGGGCATCGGTAGATTTTGTGACCGTTTCTTTCTTTATGTTCCCGTACGTGTGACTTTACATCTCGCTCTCCCTCATGTCTTGTGCGCTTAGCTAAATGTATAGCTGCACTGCTTACACCCGTCACAGCTACTCTGGTTTTTACTAGTCAAATGACCAAATGTTTTCTTAAGGAATTTACTGGTTTTATGACCGTCATTTTACGGGCACAATGACCATCATTTTACGGTTGAAATGGTCGCCTTTATACGGTTATAACGACCGTCATTTTTCAGGCTTATTGATCG